AATAAGTAGTCTATAATTTTTATACCCTACAACTCTATGTGTTGGGGGTATTATAAGTTTGATTAGGCCAAAAATTATGTAACACCTCGAAGTATTGGTATCCCACATAGGAAAGTATATATGGATTTTCCTATCTCGCCGAGCTGAGTCGATCTAGCTATATATGTCCGTCCGTCCATCTGCCTATCTGTCCATGTTAATATGTAATCACTCGACAGGCCGCAATTATGGCTCGATCTTCACGAAATTTAGAATGGAGATGAGGCTAGAGCCAGAATAGAAGCCTATGATCGCATAATATTTAGGGTTCGAAATGGACCAACAACTGAAAAATTTCCTGATTTTGCAGTCGCTCGACAGGTCGCACTTATAGACCAATAGACGCGGAAGTTGGGGCTAGAGCCTAGGGTTGGGCATAAGCCTTCCATTTTGGTGGACATCGGGTAATATTTAGTGGGTGAAATAGACCAAAACATTTGTGTTAAATAAAAGTCAAATTTTCCATTAAACCGTGAATATTTTCAATTCTGGCGAAATCACAAATAGACGAACAGGTAAATTCTAACAGTTACGTAGATGCCGATAGTAAATATATCGGATATATATAGCGAAATATATGCAATGTATAAATACAAAGGAAGGGAATCTTAGCTAGAATACTTATATCTCAAGAATGACAAATTTTGTCAATTCAGAATGCCCTCTTAGCATAAAATTATAAAATCTAAAAAAAAGCATAAAAATGCAAATAATGATTTTAATACATACATTTTTTAGTATTTTGTGACATTTTTTTATTTTTTCATATTTTTTATCGCATGCAATTTTTTTAATTTGACTTATAATATTGAAGTGTATATTTTGTAATACTTTTTCACCTTACAACACAGGTTGGGGTTATTATATATACAGATTGCAATTATCGTCCGATACTCAGGAAAATTTTCACAAGGGTAGGGTTTGGTTTATATGGGCTAGGCCTATTGTTTACAAAGATGTCCGAAATATATTTAGGGGTTGAAATGCACCAACAACTAAAAATGTTCCAGATTTTGCAGCCGTCATAAAGGTCATAAATAGAAACCAAAGGACGCGAAAACTTGCATAAAGTTAGATCTTAAGACAGTGGGTAGAATGGACCACTACTTTTATGTGAGAAAATACCAACATTACTTATAGGCGATATCCGAAATACACAAAAGGCGAACTTCTGGCTTTTTTATGCAGATTTCGTTGACGAATGTAGCCAAATATCGTAGACAAGCAAATAATATAGATGAGTCTAAATTTGGAGATGCAGAGGGGCCTCTTGCTTTTGGAGATGGTCGCCAAATATTTAGCGGATAAAATGAACCAAAAATAGGAAAAATTTCATGATCACCCAATTGAAGCCAATCGACACGCCTGAGAAGAGTTAAGGACAGGGAAAAATTCTAGCATTTTGGATGACTACAGGATTATATTTAGCTGGCAGTGCTCCGTGGCATAATTTCCAAAGGGAAATCTTCAAAAGTGGAGTTGGACATAAGAGGACTTCTAACATGTTGCAGTGTTGTAGGGTATCACATGGTCGGCCCCGCACGACTATAGCCTTTGCTTATTTGTTTATAATTTACGTTTTACCCTCTATTAGCACTTATTTTTCTTTCCTTATTAGACAAACTCGGTACATTTTCTTAGAAAAATAAGTTTAAGTCCAACCAAATATGTAAAGGCTTTTATTATTTTTGGTCGAAACCTTTTATTGGGAAAACACATTAGGCCTATTGCTACATACTGATTTCAGAAATAAAATGGAACGTTAAAAAATATTTTCAAAGTTATTAACTAAACAACGTGACATGTGTAGTATTATCTTATTAAATTTTATTTGTTCTGATTTAGAGAAATTATAAATGACACGCAAAAATATACATTCAAAGCGAACTCAAATAATTTTAATATTACTTAAAAAATATTTTTCCGTTGTGTTCTATTCGGATTGAAACCTGCATTTTTTGGGATATTATTGGATAGTACTAGCCATGATATATTTTTGAAACAAAGATTCAATATTTTATATAGCCATTTTATATATATACTAGCTGGCCCGGTCCGCGTTGCCGGCCCGTAGTTTTTGTCTATTATGCATATTTGTCAAAGCATAATTATTCAAAGATATGAATGATATAAGTGTTCGCGTACTGGTCGATTAAAAGGCTTTTTAAATACCTGTACCCATATTTAAGCCGTGGGCTTCAATATTTAAACCGTGGACTTCAAAGGTGTGGATGTGCTATACAAATCTATTAAAATGTATATATCAATCTTATCCCCATGTAAGGGATCAAATTAATTTTTAGTATGGTAAAAATCGTAGCATAATTTTCCATTCAAATGAGCAGTAATTTGGAATTTACTGTATTTTGTACACCTCATAATTGAGGGTTGAATGAATTAAGAATAGCCAAAGTAAATTACTTTTTTAAAGCCATTAGCACCTCAGATTGTCCATTAGAGTTCTTATAAGTCCCTCTAACCATGTCGGTCTGTTTGTCCGCCAAAATGGGGACTTGAGGGGGTACTATTATATGGAAAAAAATCCTAAAATTTGTAGATATGTTCAAATTTTTGTGTAAGATTTTCACCCCCAAATACACATTTTTAGCCAAATCCTTTGAAATATGGTAAAATCAGGAGGTACTTTTATATGGGCACTACTCCGAGACATCGACCTATATTGAAAACATTCTTCTAGCCCTTATAATCCAATATGAAAAATAGAGACCAAATCAAAAATATAGCAGAACAACAACAACTGAAAAAAATTTCGCGTGATTTAAATGAGTAAAAATAGTTTTATCCACCATATTTTTCATCATAGTATAATTCAATGACGATTCAACAAATATTCGGTCCCGTGCTAATTTCATATATTTGTAATTTGTTCATGTTTCCACAATTTATTTCATATAGATGTATATCCCAAATATACGTTTCCAACCAATATTGTCTTGGGGGTTACAAATCCAATAGAATACAAAATTTTATTTTCTGACCACACATTATATGTGAAAGTGGACTTGGGTATACTCCAATAAATAAATTCCTATGTGGCAATTATCTGTATGATGGTTCCCTAACCCCTTAGAGACAATGATGCCAAATATGGGCCAAGCAATGAAAAAAGTGGCCAAGACCCCAAAAATAGCTTAAATCATATGATGGTTATATAAATATGAAATCGGGATGTACCCTTATCGTGAGTTATGATCGATATCATGACCTGCAAAAGTGGTTTAAGGTATCTTGAATGTTTGTGAAGAATTTCTGGAAGGATAGAAATCCTTTTCTTACTAAGAGTCTCATTCGCTCTACTATTTTCCACCCTTTATATTTGGTATTTTACTGATTGTACTCCCAAAGAATTTTGCATTGGACGGATTATTGTCACATGAAAGAAGTAGGTCCACGCTTTGAAATGAGCTCCATTTGGCTTTTTCTGTCATTTTTGGTTGTTTAAATGTGTTCGCATCTTCCATCTGAACCACGATGTCGGCCCTGTAATCGAAAATTAGATGTCAGTTAACATCGTATTTCGCACTTATTTCATTTTTTTTTTTTGGTGAAAAATTGTATATAGTGAAAAATTATTCTTTATTTTGTTCATAAAAAATCCACTGAATTCAATATGATAATACAAATTGAAAAAAAAAAAAAATGACAAAAGAAGAATAACAAATTGAAAAAATCTTCAACCTGTTCGCTGATTTATTACAGCAAATGTTTAAAGACCCTTACTATCATTTTAAAATTCGATTCCACTGAAAATTTTTTCGATTTTTTCCCGATTTGAGAATTTTTGCAATGAGATCTCTTTTCCGTGATTTTTTTTAGCGATTTTGACAAAGTAATTATTTTTTAATTAATAATTATCTTTCTTTTGGTGTGACCGCGTTAAATTATTTCGATATCATCTATTCCGTTTCGCCACCATATAATTCGGTACTACGCTTCCATGTAACCCGCCATCAAATAAAATATAAAAAACACTACAAATGTACATTAGAAAAAAGTAAGTCAAAATGGAAAAAAATCATACAAAATAAAACATTACTATTGTACATTTGAAAAGTCAAAATGAAAATGTTAATATATCACATTTTTACGCGATTTTTCTGGATATTATCCTTTTCGGAGAGGAGACAACTCCGAATTTGTGTGAATCGTTAAAATCAGTCCAGCTGTTCTTAAGTTATAAGCGTAGTAACTAAAACAACTTACATTTATATATATAGAAGATATATATTCAGGTTTTTCAGCTCTTAATGTATAGGTACTATTTGGAATATGCTAATACGATTTCAATGTTAGTACTGCTTCAGACATAACACCCTTTTAACGGTAATACCTAAATTCCACACCTTCCAGAAAATTTTCAAATTTTTCAACATTATCGAAGTTAACGCCTTGTTAATTGATTAACTCTTACAGAAGTGAAATTTAAATATATGGCGCAGTTGGAAAACCATATGCCACAAATGCAAAACTTTGTGAGGTTAATATTCAATATTATATTTTTATCTAATCGGGGTTGCTCTTCCGCTGCCTTTCATAAAATTCATACTTATACTTTGTTTCAATAAATGGTGTACTTCTCTGATAAAAATAAAAAACAGCTTACAGAATATCTCAAATTCCCCAATAACCCTCTAAAAATTCGTACAGCGAAATGTTAAAGTATAGGTGTAAGATGAATATGGTCGTAATGCTGGCTAAATGAAGGCGTATACAAACACCCCACACAAGTCTGAGCTCTAATTTGATCGTCACCCCTGCCGACAATAGTTTTATTCGTTTGAAATAGTTTCTGTCAAATTATATTTCTTCGACAAGAATTCTTTCTTACTTCTAGTCCACCAATATGTACCCTGTTTATATGCACTGTCTTGTAATAGTGCAGAATAACTTTTCGTCCAGTTTTGTTATAATTATCTGTAATTGTTGTCATTATTTTTCAGGAGCAAGCAAGTCTCATTCTGGACTTTTTCCGTTTGACAACCCAGTTTGTAAATTTGAACATTGCCGAATACCAAATATTGAGGTAGGTATGAATAAATATATGTGTGGATTTCAATATTATAAATGCAATTTTTATCCCAGTTTTCATTTGATAAGAAAGTTGTATGTATGTATTTTTACATATAATGTACCTATGAATGTCGGCAAATATTAACCTACAATTTGAATGGTATTATTTTGCCACAATAAAAAGTCAAAAGCCTTCAACCGCAACAAAATAATAAAACCCCATTGAAGAATTTATTGTAAAGTGATGATGATATCCATAGGATTTTCCGTTTGAAAGCAGAACCATCAACGTTCTCCCCCACACTATATGCGCGTATTTATGTATGCACAATAAAGCTGGAGACCGGCAAGCAACATATATAAACAATTGAGCACTCGCGCTCTCACCAACTCTAGTCTAGTTAGTCATTGTTTAAATTTTGTTCCAACTCAATTTTCATAAACATTCCGCCTGAATTGTCTGGCAATAGTGTTGTAATTGTCTTGGTATGCGATAATGAGTACTCGAATAGAATATTTTGTACATAACAAATGTGCAGCTGTTTTCTTTTTTCATTACGAGTGCTTCACGCCGCTCTTGTCGCCTCTGTCGACCGAAGAGCAATCCCTCCTTGTCTTAGAATTACGAATGCACGACATTCATCTCACCTGTTGTTATCAATTTCGATACATTTAGAAATAAAATACAAACAACCGACATATTACTAAAATAAAAATTGCTATATTCATAAAATAGTATGGAAGATCTTACAAAAGTATACATTATTTTGTTTCTAAATTTATGAGGGGGGAGAAATGATAATCTAAGCAGAGTTAAAATTGACGCCCTTTTTATACCCTCCACCATGATATATAATGTCATATTTTGATATAATCACTATCCCTTGTGAACTCCTTGTGTGGATTTTAAGAAAACTCCATTGAATATCGGGAGGAACCGTTGTATCGGGAGGAATCGTTGTATGAGGGCTATACGATATCGTGGACCGATATAGTCCATCTTCGAACTTGACCTGCCTGCAGACAAAAGACTGATCTGTGGAAAATTATAGCTTCCTATCTTTATTCGTTTTGAATCTAGAGTGATTACAACAGACGGACAAAAGGACAGACGGACGGACGGACAGACGGACGGACAGGGCTAAATCGTCTTAGAATTTTACGCAGATCAAGAATATATATATATATTGTTATGTCTAAAATGATTATTTCGATGAGTTACAAACGGAATGACGAACTTAAAATACCCTCCATACTATGTATGGTGGAGGGTATAAAAATTGAAATAAATGGTCTTAGCTAAACTATCGTTAAGCGAAATATAAAAAAATACGTTTCATTGCCTCCTCCAGGAATTTGAAGTTCTTTTATTTCTACTAAAATTTTCAACCCCTTTGTAACTAGTTAACTACAGAATTATCGATAACGTTAATTAACGAAAATTGTCAATAGGTTAGCGACCAAAATTAATTTGGCGCTTATTGTTACAATTTACGTGAAATATTTGCGTTTTGATTTTACTGATTTTTGTCGTTAACTACCGAAAAGAGTTCCGAATTACACTTAACGAGTACCTCAGAATTTCCGGAAACCGGTTGCACCCAAATAACGAGTAATCAAATTTAACACAAGACCTTTCCATCCACCAATTCCATTTGCGTATTGGAAAACTGAATCTGCATATAGTCCAATCGTCTGTCAATACTGTTTGTGACTTTTGCCATGGAACAAACACACATACTTGCGTGTCTTGCTGGGCCAAGCAGAAAGTAGGTATGTCGGCAAACTAAGAGCAACATATAAGCAGAGAGAGTAAAATAGACTGCGACGACATTTAGTATTTCATTTCACATATAGATACATACATACGTATATGCGTATGTTTGTACATACATAACACAACCTGCCGCTGGGACAGTGTGCGTGGTATGGCAGAAGATACAGAATTTGTACCTCATAAATTGGAATAAGTACACTGTGTTACTTTTCACCGCAATTCTCGAGATGTTTAAGTTTTGCAATTAGTTCTCGGCTAGAATTTCCCACGAAACGTTGGCGGTTTCGTGCTGCTACTGTCATATTCATTGCCGGCTACATGGATCATTCGTCATACGCGGTGCACGTGCGGTTTACGAAAAACTTTGTTTATTTCCAATTGTTGATTTCTTTCGTGGATTAAATTTGAAAAGTGAATAGCAAGAAAAACTGCGATCAACAGAATGAGTTTTATTCGGGCAAATTTTATTTTGAAATATAATTCAGAAAAATATCAGTGATACATACAGTGATTTGGAATATTTTATAAAAATAAAAAATAACGTACATGTTTAAACAGTGTTAAATTAAAAGCGACATACATAGTATCTTTATAGAGGTACGCAAATAATACAAAACACCGTTAATTAGTTCCCATAAATTCACATCTTTGGCACTAATATGAACACACATATACTTATACCGCAACTGCGCCTGAAATCCAATTAGTTAAATTTTGCCATACTCTTTCCAACATTGTATCCAGCATTTCAGGAATGAATGCTACAATGTTTCTTCCAATGCGTCAATTGAAGCTAGACATAGGTTTAAATAAAAGGCATTTAATCACAAGATCTAAGCGGCCAATTGACCGGTCCCGAACGTGACATAAAATGTTCACAGAACTCGCCGTCTTGTTGAAACTTCATATCATTCAAATTAATCTCTTGCATTTTGGGCAAAAAAAGTTGGATATCATCTTACAATAGCGCTCATCATTCACAGTTTCGTTTGTAGCGTATTAGAAGAAATACGGTCCAATGATGCCACCGGCCCATAAACCGCAACACTGAAAGAAAAATGCTTTTTTGTATCAATGAACCGGTTTTATAATTTTTTTTAATGAAAAGCTACATTAATGTAATAAATATTTTGTTCATGCAATGAAAACTTACGTTGCTTTAAAATTCAATGATTTTTGGTTTCATTGAATATATGAAACGGATTTCATTAATGTTACGAAACTACTTATTGTTACAAAATTCAGCAAAAAATGTGAATATAGAAATGATACATAACCGCGCTGTCTGACACAAACAAGTACGCAACCAACGTATTTATAATTAGAGGGAAAATTGTAATAATTGTTATATTTAAATTTGTGCGCCAATTTAATGAAGCAGTTTCATAACATGAATTAAACGTTGCAATATGGAGTTCGTTCTAGGCCAAACAAATGATGCATGGAAAATGTCATCTCAATAAAAGGCGACCTGCATTTTGTTCATAAAAATACGTGGTCAGACTTACTGAAATTCATAAACCGATATCGAAAAATTTTAAAAATCTTTCGAAATATGCCACTTAAATGAAAACCGTTATGTGTGGATACGAAGATCTCGACCTCAAAAGTATTTTTTATGTCATATGCTGTAGTATGAATTTCAAATACGATATTTGAAGCAATTCCATTGAAAAATGTGAATATACGAAGACATGGACCTATATTAACAATCTTCCGCCACAACAGCTAGAACCCATTACGAACTACAAATACCAATTTTTGGACAAATCTGTGGAAAAATAATCAAATGATGCATATCATTATATTAATGAACAATTACGTTTATGAAACTCAGTGAAACTTTTTTCATTCAGTTAATGAACCTCTACGTTGGTTCAAAATCAATGACAAATTTCATTGACGGAACGTAGGAATTCATTTATGATATGAAGCTTTCTTTGCCTTCAGTATATAGAATTTTTTCAAAAATAAAAAGCTGTAAGCTCGGCCGGGCCGAACTTTGAATACCCTCCATCATTAGAAACAAAGTTTGCAATTTTCAAAAAAAAAAAAAATAAAATAAAATCCGTTAAAAATTCTGCTAAAATCTGAAAAATACCGAATTTAGCCGTTATATTAGGGTCTATACGACGACGTGGACCTGCATAGGCAACTTTTGTCATAAGCCATTACAATATCTAAATGCGAAACTGGAAAGAAAATTCGGTAAACAATGCAGCTAAAATCATAAAAATACCGAACGTGGACCTGCATAGACAATTTTCTGTCATAGGCTGTAGTATCCATTACGAACTTCAAATACCAAATTTGAAACAATTCCGGTGAATATCGTTATTAAAATCATCAAAATACCGAATGTCGTTTCCTCGTTTCCTTTTGTCTGGTACAAACAAATGCACAAAGACATAATACCCTTACCACTATGTGTGTAGGGTATAAAAGGTTGGCATCGCCAGTTCCTCCGACGCCGAACTTTTAATACTTTTTTAGCTTTTAATATCGAATATCGGGAGGTACCGTTACATGGGGGATATACGAAAACGTAAATCTGCATACCAAATTTTATATCATAGGCTGTAGTACCTATTGCGAATTTGTAATACAAAATTTGTTACAATTTCAGCGAATGACGTGGCAAAAATCATCAAAACACCGAATATCGGGAGGTACCGTTATATGGGGGCTATACGAAGACGTGGGCAAGCATACGATTCTTTTGCCATTGATTGTAGTACCCATTACGAACTTCAAATACGAAATTTGAAATAATTCCGGTAAATAATGTCGCTAAAATCATGAAAATACCGAATATTGGGAGGTACCGTTATATGGGGGCTATACGAAAACGTTTACCGACATGCCCCATTTATCAACTTAGCCTGCCTGCTGGTAAACTATGCATGTATGCAAATGTTTAGCCTTCTACCTCAATTCGTCGAAGGATAGCGTGATTACAACAGACAGACAGAAGGACGGGCATCGCTAGATTGTCGTAGAATTTTACGCTGATCCAAAATATATATACTAAAGGAATGACAAAGCTAATATACCCTCCATAGAATGGTGGGGGATATAAAAGTATATATATTCTTGAACAGCGTAAAATTCTAATACGATTAAGCCCTTCATCTTAAGCAGTCCATCTATCCGACTGTTGTACTCACGCTAGAGTCAAAACGAATTAAGATAGGAAGCTACATTTTTTCACAAATCAGTCATTTGTCAGCAGGCAG